TGACGTTTTTAGTGTTTTAATTGGAAAGTTTTCGGAAAACATAAATTTAAAAAGTTTCTCATAATATGAAATTCTCAGCCATGTCATTGAGTAATGTGAGTGTACCCTCAAGAGTTGCAAATCTTGCGTCCAAATGCGACTGCTTAGTTGCTTTTAGTTTCCGAGATGCTATGTTTTTTTATTTAAAAATTTTTCAAAGAATTTCGTACAAAAAATTACAAAATTTGAAACTCCTTACTTGATGAAGAGACAACCATATGATTGTCAGCGTACACCCAGGGGTCGCGAATCTTGCCTCTAAAAATGAATGCTTAATCTTTTAAGTTTCGATATATGACGTTTTTTATGATTCTAGATGACGCTCTAATTTTTTTTCAAATTTGGAATTAAAAAATTTGAAATTACCCAACCTGTAATGGGGTGGTGTCAGAGTACACTAAAAGACTGCAGATCTCGTTTCCAATATATGCGGTTTTTCATGAGTTATCAAAAATTAGAAGCACCGGAGGTGCGTTACACGCTAGTTTGTATTTATTGAAGTGCCAATAAGTTTAGTGAAAACATTCGTAATGGTTGTATTCGTTTTGTCATTTGTTTTGAGGAAAAAAGTTTCCAGGTTTGTTCACACTCAAATTTGATGTTATCACGCTCAGATGATTTTTTAGTAGTTTTGAATGTTAAGATTCTCCTCGGAATAAAAAAAAAAGAAGAAGTTTCTAATGATCCATTTTTCTCAATTGTTTGTATGCACTTGAAACTCATTTCCAGGAAAAAATTAAGTTGTCGGACTTGTTTTTCTGCTCAACTTTCGTCAGCTTAGTTGCCGCATCTTGGATGTTACTTGTACTGTAAACAACTCTCTTGTAGTTGCAGGTGCAAGTGTTGTTCAATGTGGTTTCAGCGGACTTGACAATTTTAAAAAAATTTCCATACGTTTTTTTTGGCTCAACTTGTCTGCTCAAAGTTGATGTTTTTTTTCTGCTTTCTGGTTTTTGCTTGATTTCTATTGGCTTTGTGAAAAAAGAACTATATTTTTGGGCTACGATTTAAATTGATAAAAAATCTCGCAATCTTTTCCTCTGCGATAAGCAAGTGTATTACACTCGGGTACGAGATTTGTCCACAGGATTCATTGGACTCCTGATGTACATTGCTTCTAAGTGAATTCAAATTTTGTAGTGTCTCTTGTACACTTAGCGTAGTGGTAACTAATAAGCCTGGAATTTCAAAAGCCTGTGTTCGAATCTGACCAGGACCACAATTTTCAATTATTAAATATTAAAAATAAAAAAATATTGAAAAATTAAAATTGCGGCTAAATCGAAATTTGTTTTTCACATTGGTTGTAATTTTACCAGCTCGATTTGTTAACTTTTTTTTTCATTTTTTTTCTTCATTTTTTGCCTTTTTTATCGGCCTAATTTTTTTTCGGCTCAATTAATAGCAATTTAGTGGCCTCTAAATGCTTCGTTACGCCAAAAAAAGTTTTTGTGCGCGTGTGCGTGCTCTGAGGGGAAAAGTGATCTAAAGTTTTTATAAGTTGAGAATTCATTTTAGAATTTTTTTCGGCATGAATGGTTTTTGCTCAGGTATTTTAGGCATTGTTACCGCTGGGTAATTATAATTTCAAATTCAATCGACCATCCGGCCTATGTGTTGTAGATACAAAACAACCACTTTAGATGGCAAAACCTTGCCGTTTTTTTGCTAGCTAGAGTTTTTGTGCTTTTTCTGGCTATCGTCCGTCTGTTTATTTTTGTCGGCTTGGTTCTCGTAGCTCGATTGTTCAGCTTTATTCTAAGTTGATGTAGCCCCCATGCTTGGGGCCACAAAGCACGGGAGTCCGGTTCCAGGTGCGACCGGTTTTTTTTTACAAATAGAAAATTTAAGACTATTTTTTGATTAAGGCTAATTTAGATTATTGTCCGTCTGCTTTTTTGTTTTCTTAGTTCCGCAGAAAGGATTTTTAAAAAAAATGCCTTCTTTAAAGCATTCCCAAAGCTCTTTGTAGAGTTTCTAGTGTTGCAAGCAATTTTGTTCTGGATATTTTGGGCTTTTGTTGTAATTTTTATTGACAAGAACGTTTTTTTGAATTTTTTCCGTTTGATTTTAATCATATTCATTCATATTTTTAATCTCAAGTGGTGCGAAGCTCAGCTTCGCCTCTGTGTAATTTTTTTTGAAGTATATGGTTAACTTTGATAAGAACTGCCCAAAAATTGAGGAGATTATGCCCATTTTTAGTCTACCCGTAGTTTTTTGAGTAAGGGTACCGAATGATCAAAAAGAAATCATAATTATATCAAAATATGTATGTATAAAAAAACAATAATTTTGCTAAAAGTTTTCGCAAAAAATTACCAAAAATTGAGCAATTTGCATAGTTATTGGAAACTTAAAAAGTGAACAAACGGTCACTCTGTTTATATCTTTTCGAATTTACAAAACAAAACGGATTTTGATTACGCTTGCGAATAGCAAGCGTTATAAAAGACTTTTTCGGGTTAACAACTAGTTTAGCAAAATCACTGAATCATTTTTGCAGCATTTCGTTCTGCAGCAAACTTGCTCATTTTTTTGAAATTTCAAATTTAACTACTGGTGACGAAAACTAGTTGACGACTAAGGGCCTAGGCTCGAATCCGGTCAGCGCCTGTTTTTTTTTAAAACGAGAAGTATTTAGTATTAAAAAATCATCGCCCTATCAAGTGTCTGCCAATGTTTTCTTGGCCTAGTTTCCACTTTTTTTACTTTTCCCGTGCTGTAAGCTAATTTATTGTATCTCTAGCACATATGGTCTGGAGGTAACAAATACTTTTGGGAAGGCAAAGGTTCTAGATTCGAATCTGACAGGACTTTTTTTTTATTTGTTTGCTTTTTTTTTGTCTGCATACGTTATGTCGTTTTAGTTACCGCATCGTACATTTTTTTCTATACACAATTTACATTGTAGATGTTCTTAGTGTTTTGATTTACTTTGGCTGTTTGTAATATTCAGACTTCGTATCTTTTTTCGCTTTAAAATTTTTCTGCCCAAACGGTTTCGTCTTAAATTTTATCGGATTACTGACTTAATGTTGAGTCGTTTCACGTGCAACATAGTTTTTATGCTCCTGTGGATCGCACAAATTAGTAAATTGTTAATAGAATATTGTTGAAGTTTTTCATGGCGACAATTATTTTTTCGGTGTTTTTTTTTCATTTTTTCGTCTTGATTGGTTTCGGCTTAAATTATATCGACTTTATAGCCTCGTATTGCTTCTTTCGGCAAGCGAAAAAATTGTGCGTGAATGTGTATTTTGAGATTGAAGGGCATTTTATAACTTTTCATTGGTCTTAAATTTTTTGAATTGTTTTTTATTTTCTATTTATTTATTTTCTATTTTTTAGGTTTTGGCCTATATTATATCGGTTTACTGGCCGCATATTTTTTCATTTGGTCAGCAAATAAAATTTTGTGTTTGTGTGTGTGTTGCGAGGGTGAGGTGCACGTGTTAACTTTTAATAACTCATTGATTTTTTCGACTAAGAGGGTTTGTGCTGGGGTTTTTTCGGCTTTATTAGAGCTTAGTAAGTTTTCTTCCGATGCAAATTATTCACATTATGTTGTACTGGCATTTTTTGTTTGAAAGCTTGCCTGACTCATTGTGATACATAGATTTTGATAGACCCAGAGCGCGAAGTTTCAAAGTTTCTTAATTGGGTTATCTTACCTACAAAACCTAAAATTTTTGCAAACCAAATCATTCTATGAAATTGCTTGAAATTTTTCATAACTTGAATAAATTTTTGCATCCATTGTGATACATCCATTTTGATAGACCCAGAGCGCGAAGTTTCAAAGTTTCTTAATTGGGTTATCTTACCTAAAAAACCTAAAATTTTTGCAAACCAAATCATTCTATGAAATAGCTTGAAATTTTTCATAACTTGAATAAATAATTCGCTCTATGGAACACTCTGTCATTTTTCAAAGCTAGCTCGCTTCAGTAACTTGCATAAAAAAACTTTTAGCGAACCGATTCGATCCATGAAATAACTTGATATATTTCAAAGTCTGATAGCTGCAAATGCTGGCTTAGAGAAATTTGAACTTTTCGCGAACCAATCAGTCTGAAATAACTTCAAAATTTTTTCTTGAAATAAAAATTGAACTAGCTAGAAAAGTAGGCTTCGCAGGATATGTTAGCAAAAAAACTATGTTGCGATTTGAAAATCCTGCAAAAATACACTAGATCACCCACCCTGGTTATGCTACAATAAGCTTGTGTCATTTTTTTTTTCGACTTCCTGCGTCGAGATCGATAAAGACCTGGCTTGGTTTTTGCGCGCGTTTTGGCTGAGAATCTATCGGTTTAGTTTGTGGTCTGTTTCTTTCAACAATCAAATCACAATTGACTTCATGTGTTGTTGTTTCTTAAATCAGTTTCAGTATGATGAAGTTAAACTTGTTTTTAATTGGTTGGTTCGCCTAGATTGAATTTGTCAAAATCGATGTTGAGAAGGACATTATGCTTAAATTGAGGCAATATCTTCTATATGCTTCAATTGTGTGTCTTACTGAGTGAAAGAGCGCGCTGATAATTCAAATACATGACATGTTTTTGTATCGTGAGGTGAGAAGTATCTAAGTTCATCCCTTTTTATTGAGATTAAATAGCTGTTCTTTTGAATTCGATTTTGTGTTAAATGTTTTTGAATTGAATGGGACGTCTAGCGGCTTTGTCAGGTTTTCCCACATCAGCATTTTTCCCATTCAAGACTGTCCTCTTTTCAATTTTTGTGGTGAACTTGTGGCGATGTGTTTTATTGGCCCAATGATGTACAATTTACTAGATAAACATTGAATTCTCACTATTTTGTTGGTCTGAGTATTTCAAATGCATTATTACTTTCCGCATTTGTCTTTTTTCTCCGTTTTGAAAAAATATCCCAGCTAAAGTTGGTCATAATTGCTCTTTATAGTTGTCGAATATGGTGTTACAATTGTGCATCTCACGTCAGTTTTATTTCAAGTCAAACATGAGTTAGTTTAGAAGCTAAAATACGCTATTGATAAATGTATTAAGTTTTTTTTTATTCAATGGTGTATTCGGTTTGGTGGTATATGCAGCATTTGTTGTGAACAGTTGAAAAGACTTTATTGCATTTGTTCTGTTTTACTTAAATAAATAATGAATAAATTGCATATATTTAAAGGTTGAGTAGACAAAAAAGTAATTATTCTTCGATTTATGTTAATGCAAACGAGCATGACTTGATTATGACATGTTCATGTTTCGATTTTTAGCCCGTAATTCGTGAAGAGCTTTTTAATCTTGGCTGTAATTCAATACTGAAATTGACATATCGCTTACTGATGTCGAATAGATTGCATTTTACATAACACTCCTTGATTTCAATACTTTATCATTAATTAAAATACGAAACACATTTTCCTAAAGTGTCATTGTGCAGTTGCTTTAGCTTTAAAAAGATGATTAATTCGCAGCATAGTTTGGAAAAATCAGAGGCTAAAAACGTCCTACAAGAAGAAGAGAAATTGAACTTGAATAATGATCATGAGCAGGACATGTTTGCGATCAAGTTCCACTCGTTCAAATTTGAGAGGTGGAAACACTTAATTTATTTCATTTTCTCTCTTTTAACTCTGGGCTTGCTCCCACTGCTGTGCTACTGGTACCCGCGATTGTGGCTGTATTGCAATACAGTTAAGTGCAGTGAAATGCATGCTACTCATATTTATGCCAAGGTAAGAGTGCTCTGATATTTGTTTGAAAATAGCTAAAAATTTTTGTAACTAGATTGAGGAAATAATAATACGTCGTCTTATTTGGAACATTAACCTGAGTAAATTGCTTAAAAAATGATTATATATGGAATTCCTGCTTGATAAAAACAGGTTTTATGATTATGTATGGTGGTGGGTATTCACGAGTACCAAAATTTTAAATCAGTCCCATTTGTACTAAAATAAAAAATCAATCGGGTTAGTACCAAAAATATTCAATTGGCCCAAGACTATTAAGCCGACTACTTTAAGCTCTTGGTTTAAGGTCGCCGGTGGGCGCGCTATGCGCGCGTCACCGCTTTGCGGCGATAACCGGCTCTAATTTTCGTATAGAGTCCTACCCTCTGATGGCAAGCTCGCAACACGTTGGCGCGACTGCGGCGGTCACTTCTGCTGTTTAGTTTTCTTCTGTTTGAACAGTAGGAAATTAATGTAATAATTCGTTGGCTCACAACTCGACCAATCAGAAATCGAGTTGAATAATTTTGGTACAAATGGGACCGATTTTTCATTTTGGTACAAATGACCGTTGGTACAAATGGGACGTCACCATGTATGGTACTTTTTTCTCGAAAATACTCTCGAAAATACAATTTTGACTGAAAATTCAATGAAAAACTGGTTGTGATAAACCTCCCTGCATGAACTGCAAAGCCCCAATTTCTGTAGAAAAATAATTAGAGCCCTAGGAAAACGCGAGTTTTTCTCTTTTCAAATAGATTATATTGTCTGGGGCGTTAGCGTACAACCAAGGTTCAAAAATTGAAATATAATTTGTCTTTCATTAGCAAAGTAAGCGAGACGTAGATAGACTATTTTACACCATACAGGGCACTATTCAAGAGCCTATTTTGAAATAAGTCATGGATGGGGGTACAACCTTGCTCGTAGCTTAATGCACATTTTTTCGAGTTCTGCGAACCATGTAAATTAACGATGCTTTAAAATTAATTTAAGCTGAACCTGAATGCCATAATGGCAGCTTTTGTAGCTTCACGACACTTAGTATGAGCTCACAATTTAGTTTTGACTTTCGCCATCCTTTAGCCATATTGATTGAATCTGTAGCGCTAAAACGTCTGGTTACAAACTATATATAACAAGACTGCTCGTATCAGGGCGAAGCCCTGAATGTTCCGACTGCCTTTAAAGGTTAATGAAGCAGTAATAACATGGAAAAATTAAATGTTGAAAAAAAATGTTGTAAAAAAAATTGAGATTTTTTGTGAAAATCATCCCCCCACATGCCATATAAAGTACAAAGTGATAGATTTCTTTTCTAGTAACAAATCAATTATGGCAAACAAATAAGCTTCCGTTAAGCAATTTGGAACGATTTCTAAGACGGATTAAATCTACGCTTACGCGTTAATAGCGCGAAATATATCGCGCGTTAATTGTCCCAAGTTGGCCAAATTGACAATTTTTAAACCCCCGTAACTTTACGAAAAATGATCACAGGTGAAATATCTTTTCAATTTTGAGCTCAGGACAACAATACCTTTCGAATGATATTAAAAAATTCCGTCAAAAATGGCTAGTTAAAAAGTCGAAATTTGTCTGAAGAAAAAAAACCCACCCCGAGCACAAGTATTCCGTTATTTTTGTATCGAAAGTCGGAACAATAAGTATCCAAACTTTCCATCATTTTTCTTTATTGGGCCACTAGTTTTATGGTAGAATAAGTCTCGCTGCAAAAAAGCAGCCTTTTCTCACTATTTTATTCAATGGTAGTATCTAAGCTTTCATTCTTTCCTTATTTTTTCAGCCTTTAGTAATGATCGAGTACAATGCCAAATATTTGTTTTAAAAAAAGTTGGAATTTAAACATATTGAACATATTGTTTGCGACTGCCGGTACATAATATCTAGTGAAAAACGAAACTAAAAGTTATACATAAAAAGTCGATCAAAATTATCAAAGTGAAAGTGTCAAAATCAAAAGTAGCGATAGCCTATCTGTCTCAACCTGACAGAAATTATCTTTACACAAGCAAAGCTGGTGTTATAGTATGGACTCTCTTTTTTTCCAACCTAAAACGCAAAAATTGTTGCGACGCAAATATTGTTGCGACAAAATGTGTTCATTTTGAAAGTATTCATTTTGGTCAGTAACCAGCTATTAAGTACAGCCAATACTAAGGATATTAACGCTGACAATTATGGTACAAATAGCATTTTAGCTTCAAGGTAGCATGGATCTGTAGCGTAGTTACTGTTTCGTATACTAGTTAAAATGCGTCCGCTCTATAAATTGAGGCATGCTAGTTGGTAATTTTTTTTTCAAATTGGCTGGTACTGCTGATGTGTCATAATTGGCTTGCGTCACTTAGCAATTATGTATACTCATGCTTGGCGTGCGTCACTTAAGAAATTTTGTAGACTCAAAGTTTTACTCATTCGTTTTTGCCCAGTAGCGTTATCGAACATAAATTTTAGAAAAAAAAGTTCATTCTATTTTATTACATTTATTTTTTAATTATTTTTTTAATTATGTTATTACTGCTCTATAAAACTTTAAAAGGCAGTCGTAACATTCAGGGCTTCGCCCTGATACGAGCAGTCTTGTTTCAATTTTATGTTGTCTTAGGATCCCGGGGCTGAGCAGGGCAGTGAAACGAGAAAAATGATATGCGAAGTGCATATGACCTCAGTAGACCCTCTTGTGGCAGTGCGGTACTTAAACAAGAACGGAGCTACTTACGGGTGAGTTTTGAAAATGCAAAAGAATTAGTTAAGGGGCGCTGCCTTAAATAGAGGAAATAGAGACAGAAAAATTGAATTAAATATATCATTATATAAACAAAAATCAGTATTCAGTATTCGACAAATTGATTTATATAAGCTTGAAAATAAGAAATTTAAGTTATTTTAATGGACGCTGATTGGTTGAATTTGGATTATTCCTACCGTTTTGTTTTTCTGTTTTATCGTTGTCAGGAAACCGTTGTCATTATTGATTTCATTGCGATTCCCAAAAATCATCAAGTACAATTGTGATAGAGGAAACCCTGCAAAAAGCAATAATGAGAAGAATAGATCAACTAAGTATATAATCATAACATGTCCAATCGCTTTCAAGGTATTTTTCAAAGTGATTTAACGTACCTGGCTTACGCGAGAACATAATCGATGCGTAAAGTTACACCGAAACATTAAATTGCTTAATATTAAGATGGTGTATTTTATATTGGGGATCTTTGCATTTTCACTCGACCCCTCTATCTTTTTTAACCCATACTTTAAATCAAAAGATCCATAATTTTCATGCTTTTAATCAATTTCATTTGTGAGAGCGATTGAGTTGTAATCGGGAAGTAGAATTTCTCCCATAAACAACTTTTCCGACAAATTCTGCTGAATTGCTCAAATTTGCTGGCATGCTCAATTTCTTGAAAATTCAAATAAAACTACCTCTTAGCTCAAGTGAGATAGTACTGAATTTTTTCAAACGTATTTTTTTTTGAAAAAATGTGATTTTTCTTTCGATTTGTGGTTTTCGTCCTTATTTCTGTCGGCTGATTTGCGTTTTTTTTTTCAAATGCAATTTATATTATCTGGCCCGCCTTTTCAGCACTTTTTTCCAAAGCTTTTAAAAATTTTTTGATTCAAACAGGTTTTATTATAATTGAAATTTGTTCTGAGGTTTATAAATTTACCAACTCTGATATTTGATACATTTATTTTTTGGTTAAACGGGTTCTGCTTATTTTATATCATATTATGGTATGGTCATATTATGATGCGTAGGTTTGGTCATATTATGATGCGTAGTTTCAAGGACTAATTTTGAAATGTTTTTGCCTGTCTTAGAACGGATGGGTAAAAGGATAGTAAAAAAGTCGATTTAGTCAAGTGCAGCTTAGTGTCATTTCATGATATCCACCTAACCTTTTTCCCAACTTAAGTTGCAGATAAAAGTGCTCATTATTTGGTCGCAGCATTTTTATATCTGGTTAACTTTTGTTCCATAGCATTTCATTTTGTATATGGCTTATTGATGGCTAATTCCTGTTTGATAAAAAAATAGATAAGAAAATGTATGGGATTTGATTTTTTTAATTATTTTTTGAGACAAAGTTTTTAGTTTTTCTCGAGGCTTACTGTACAGACTTTCAAAAAAGTATTACCAATAGAGAGATCAGCTGTGTGCCTAGATATTCCGCTGGCACCATTTTTTGTGGGCGTTATACGACCTTCGAAAATTTCAGCGGGAGGGAATTTTCGACCATTTTTCTTGGTTGTTTTCATTTTCTTGGAAATTACCATGACAAATCTGAGATTTGGGACTCAATCAAAAGACCGTGTTCTGTGGATCTCTCCTGCACAAACTGTTACGCCCTAATTTAAGTAGAAAAAGAGTTTTGGCTTTTTAGCAGTTTCTTGGAAACTTTCCCTTTCTCGAAAACTGACTGTCTGACCTAAGGCTAATATCGAAAGAACAGATTGTGAGTCTTCGCTGCACAACTTATTTTGCTTGAATTTTTGCTGAAAAAAATCGCCTTAAAAACGTTCAGTTCTTGGAAACTTTTTGATTTTTTGAAAATTTTTTGACCGGGTCGAGTTTTTTGCCTTAGTTGCCGCTCCGTCATTGATTCACAATGTTTGTTACGGCTGTTTATAAACATCATTTGAGACAAAGATGGGAGATTTTTGTAGATATAGTCTTTTCGTCTTTTGCAAGTTTTTTTTCAGCTTGATTTTTCAAAAAGATATGGTTTGCTCATTTTTTCTATTCAATATCTTTTAATGCAATGTTTTAAATTGTATCGCAAGTGTTGCTAAGCTCCGCATTGCCTCTGAGTTACACTTGCGGGAGCAACTGTCTTGTAATCGTGAACTAGACTATTTTCTGTTAAAAAGTATTCTTGTTGAAGTGACCCGTTGAGTACTGATCTTAGTACTCTGGGTAAATTTTGAGCAGCCTAGAATTTAAATTTTTCTCTCAATCAAAAATTATAATTGGTTCCGGCCGAGTTCAGATTTGGTTTTTAAGTTGAATTTTTTCTTGAACCTAAATAATTGTTGGAACATTTTTGTTTGCTTATTTTTATCGGCTTACTTTCTAAATCTTTGAATTTTTTCTGATTTAAGCATTTCTTACCATTTTTTACATTAAACCAGTTTTATTTTGATTTTGTACTTTAAATTGTCAGCTTACAACCTTTGACGTTGTAACATCTTCTGCTTCTATCACATGTTTTGTATTCTTTTCAGCTGTAAGGTTTTTTTCGCTTAAATTATTTAGTGTTATATTGGTTTAGGTGTTTCATGATGTGTCTTTTGGAGGTTGAAACTGAGTTTTTACGCGTTTGTGCTTCAAAAACTTCATTCTTCAAACTTTTCTTGACAATTTTTATTTGGCTCAGATGGCGTCTGCTCAAGTTGTATCTGCTTACCTAGCGCTTGATAAATTTTGTTTCAATAATCATTTAACATTTGCATTTCTGCTTCAAATTGATTTTTGCTCCAATTGGCAAACTACTTTTTTTGCGACTTGGCTTTTGTCATAGTTTCTTCGGCTAGCTGCCGTGTTTTTTTTTGTGTTGTATCGCAAGTGGTTCTTTGGAATACTCTCTTGAGGTGGCGCGTTATGTTCGAAGTTGAAATAAGTTGATCGCTCAATGGTGGGTATATCAAGGAAAAGTAGATTCAAGAAATGCATTATAATTGACTGCATCTTGAATCATCTCCGATCTGCAAATGTCGTGAATTTATTTGATTGTAAAACAAATAGCAAAGTTTTACTGATAAGATTAACCTTTTTGAACCTAACTTACTTTCTTTTCGATCCAATTACAACACCTGTAGACGGCTCAAGTTTTTTTTAGGATTTTTATCAAATTCTTATGTATCTTATCCGCTTAAATAATGCGTTTTAGTTGCCACCCCGGTAATTACTGATTAAATTTTGACTGTCTAGAGGAGTGTCGTAGTGATTAGGGTCACAATGAGTCAAGAGATTGTTGGTTCGAGTCTAATTTTTTTGCAGGCTGATGTTTTGCTTTAAAATTTTTTTATCGCTTTTGGTTGAATTTTGAGAGCCCATTTTTTCTTGTTTGAATTGCTAATTTTTTCGAAATGCAGCTTCGCGTCTGTATTAATTATATCGATGTCTTTTACCCTTGCGATTAGCGAGAGTATTGTAAACAGAAGACTTTTCCTTTTAGATACATTGCTATCAGTAGTGGTATCCTGAACACATTCCACTGTATTTTACCACATCCATGTACACAAAATTGACAATTTGAAGCTACGAGTAGGGTTCAATATGAGCGCAATCGTCCAGTGTTGTATAAACATTTTCCAGCATAGTAGGCTCTGCTTTGTTTACACTTGCGAAGCTAGTGTGTTAGTACGCACCTTCTTTTTTTTCGAACTTAAATAGCAAATATTGGTGCCACTTTTGGGGCACCTTTGCAGCTTTTTGATAGCGTGTGCTTTGACATTCGAATAGTAAAAGTTAACGCAGTGGATGCATTTTTGATTCATCAAATAAACCGAAAAAAGTGATTTGTTTCAAACAACATAACAATAATGAAAACTCGATTTTTTGAAATAAATAAATTGCGAATTTTTACATGCAAAGTTAGTGTGAATGCCTTCAGTTTGTTATTTTTTAAATTATTACGTGCAAAATTGAGTCTATTTGTATTTGGTGCCACTTTTGCTGAATAGCATTGGCAAGTTATTAGCATATGTAGCTGCTTTATTCGTGACGAGTATTTGTCGGTTGTTAAGCTTGCGTGGCTGAGTGGATAATGCATGAGACTCAAAATCTCTTGATTTCAGTAGTTCGCAGATTCGAATCCTACACCTTATCGAGTTTTCGCAATTTTTTTTACTTTTTCTTATTTCACTTGATAGAGCTGCTTTTTGGTCTTGTTCTCGCAAGTGTTTGCAAAGCGAAGCTTCGCCTCTGTGTCAAAATTGTTTAAACTTGACTTCCGATTTGTTTTTGACTTCTGTTCTTGTGTTGGCTATAAGTACCTAGCGAAAAGTTTCGCATGCATAGGTTTTTAAAATCAAATTTGCCGTATTTTTATCTTTCGGCTTGAGCGGTTGCAAACCTAAAACCTGGCGGCCAAAGTTGCAAATAATATGGCATAGACTACAAAAGTCAATTTATATTATTTAAGTTGATGGCCCAATTAAGAGTCGATGAAAGTAATTCAGACTCTTATATAAGTCGCGACTTTTTTTTCCAGGAAAAATCTTAAAATTTGTTCAGGCTAAAAATAACTTTTTTGGTGGTTTGATTTTGATTTTTTTTTTCAAGTTCAGTTTATTTACTTTGTTAAAAGGAAGGCAAACTCCACTATCAAACAGCGAAAGTGTAATAGTCACGAAAAACATGATCGACATCTAGTGTATAAAGTGGAATTTAGTTATCGAAATTGGGTTAATTTTAACAAAAAAGTTTTAATCGTAAATTGTTCTAGAAATTCAAAGAGCTTTCAAGTCATCTGTTTTTTTTTGAAGCTCGAAACATAAGATTTTTTTAAAAAAAAAATACGTCCGTAAATTTGTTTTTTTTAACCTGCGTTCATTGATGCTTTTCAAATGTCTGTTAGCTATGATAATTTTTTTGGCTTAGTCGGCGACTAAAGCTCTCTCGGCTTAGTTGCTGGCTGAGTAAGCAACAGTTGATTACGGCAGGTCTGGACAATTTTTTGTATCTTGAAAAAGTTGTTACATGCTTTACC